CTTCTATTTGTTGCTTTTAAGTTATAGTACAACATTAAGTTTAGTAATTGAAACGTGGCCTAAAAATGCACTGTTGATTATCACTGGAACAATATTAAACACTGTTTCGTACGCTTTATACTAAGCTGAAACAATGCGTCATGGACATGACTATCAGTTTGAAGAATGTACTGTCCATCCCCTTTACCCCCTTCATTCCCTTCTCGCCATTCAACCAACGGCCGGTTTATAATCTAGTTACGGCGTGCTGTGATAGGCTTGAACGCGTTCATCAGGCTTTACACCGGACTGTATACGACACATGTGTTAATGTGTATGCCCATCTCTCCGTATAGGGTGTGGTAGCAACGAATGACCGAATGTAAATACTAGATAGGATAGCTGAGAAGCATTCACTTAGGCCCTGTACTTGACCCTATCTACACAGATGTGTTATTCGCGGTTGAATGAACATTGGTAATCTATGTCTCATCGGTTCTTCACGCACTATCCAGCGGTGGGGTGGGGTGGAGGGGGCGTGTCTAGCCTCAAGCGTTGTACCCAGTGTTGTGTTGTAGGCTATTATCATAAGGCAATAAACTTGTGTAAGCTACAATTTGAGTAGCGAAAGACATTATTTTGAAGTGAGAAGACCGGCTAACAAACAAAACTTGATCTGGTTTGAAGATAGCTGTTCTGAGAATACCGCTCGATTGATAGGATGTGTAATACTTAATAATCATACATTCATTACCTGTTGTATACATATTTTCTGCTTACATAGAAAAAATTTGTCTAAAACTTACAACATAAATCAAAGCGTATGTTATTAGAAAATGGTTCTTCCACATATAACAAGACGTTTTTTTCTGTTTTCTATAAGAGAAAACGCACCGTGCCTTTTCCCGCTCTTCTTTTCACGTTTTCTCAACTTTGCATTTTTACTCAAAATTCAACATTCAAATCGCTAAGGCTTTGGAACCCTTTGTCATACAAGAATAAAACATTCCATGTGCATTCAGTATGATACCATCTACAAAACTACGTTTGTACATTAAGTTTACTACAATACTTTAGGAAATATTGATATTTATGTAACACCACCCCCTAATTTTTGTACATAAATTTACGTAAAAATTTGTATTAAAAATTGAGTACAAGCTATCACAATAAGTAAACGTAGAAATGTATAGTTTGGTTTGAGAAATCTAAATCTTTCATCCGCTTTTTAAAATCTCTTATGGGAACAAAGCCTTAGCGATTTGAAAAGGTGTTAGTTTTCACACCTTTTCGCGGTTTCCATGGCAACCAGTACTGCTATTGACGGCTATATATTATTTTTGTCTATAGTTTAACAACTATAATTATATAAACTTATTAAACAACCAGAAATGTGTTAAATAAAAAACAATTTTTTATCCGTGGTGCCTATCCACATCGACAACACCTTAGATATAGGTCATCCACATGTGGGAGCTGTGCGGATCAAAGCAACACATTTTTAAAAATACAAGAGATGTAAGAGATTCATCGGCGGAAGCTTGGTTAAAATCCACCTTGGCACACAGAAGCATGGTATACATATAACATCAAATTTATTTCTCCACAAATCGTATTATTTCTGGAATGGAGTTCGTTCAATCCAATAAAAGCAATTTAAAGTTGATTTTTGAAGGCTATGGTTAGGTCAGGCAAAAAGATCTGGCGAACGGCGTTGTGTCATTTGAGCGTGCCAAAAGATGCAACAAGGCAGAATGCAAAGCAAAAAATTAAAGATTCATAGTGAACAGTTTGTTGGACGTTCTAATGAACATTCGCATGGACCAGATTAAGTTTTTATATCGCGGGGGGGGGGGGGGGGGGTTGTCCAGGGGATTTATGTCGGGGTGTTTTTGTCCAAGGGTTTTTAGTCCAGGTGTTTTTTTTACCGGACACCAGGGGAAAGAGGACTCTGCTTTCACAGTAGTTTAAAAACAAAGGGAAAAAGATTATACAAAAGTGTGGGATGGTGTCTATATAATAAAGATAATCAAACCGCAGCTACAGTAATCTTTTTACAACACAACCATCAAGTGAAAAAAGGCAAGAAAATATTTTTTTTAACTATAATTTTTTTTATTATGGTCGGCTGTGGGCCCCTAAATGACGTGCCCCCCCCCCCCCTCCCCGCATTACGGGGTCTAGCGGCACTGTAGTTTCGCCGCTGTCTGTGTGTGTGTGTCTGTGTGTCTGTCTTTTATGCATTACTACACCTTTCAACCGATCGCCATGAAACTTTGGGTAGTTGTTGAGAATACTCCTTAGGAGGTTTCTGCAAAAAAAAAAATATTTCAAATTCGCAGGGGTGGCGCACTGGAAGGGTTCGATTAGTTTTTTCTATGTATACGGTGCATAAAAATAAAAGTTGATTATAGTTTGGCGCCGTTCATCCGTTCGTTTTAAACTTTTGAAAGTTGTTAAGAATGCTCCATGTGTGATTCCTGTGAAAATCAATTTTGTTCTTTCGCAAGGGCGGCGCCAGTGGAGGTTTCGATTTTTCTCTTTATCTATAAATATAAAATGCAAAGTGTGTGTTTTTATGCATTACTACAACTTTCATCCGATCACCACGAAATTTTGGGAAGCTGTTGAGAAGAATCCTGGGAAGGTTCCTGTTAAAAAATTCAAATTCGCCGGAGTGGCGCCCCAACAGGGCTCGATTTAATTCTTTTCTGTATACAGTGAATCCGAAATAAAAGTCGATTGCGGTTTCACACCGTTCATCCGATCACCATAAAACTTTGGGGAATTATTTGGAACACTCCAGTTGAGGTTTCTGTATAGCAATTTTTTTTTAAAATTTAGCAAAGGCGGCGACCCGAGAGGTTGCTCTCTATATAAGGTATATAAATATAAAAGTCGATTGCTGTTTGACGCCGTTTATCCGATCGCCACGAAACTTTGGGAATTTTCGAGATACTCCTGGGGTGTTTTCTGCGAGAGAAAAAAATTCTGTACACGGTACATAAAAGTAAAAGTTGATTGCGGTTTGACACCATTCATCCGATCGCCCATACAGGGCGCGATTTGTTCTTTCAATACATACGGTATATTAAAAAAAAGTCGATTGTGGTTTGACACCATGCATCCGATCGCCAGCAAAATTTGCGGGCTGTTTAGAACACTCCATGTGAGGTTTCTGTAAAAATCATTTTTAGTTTTGCAGGCCTGCGCCCTGGGGGGATGCGATTCTTCTCTACATACGATATATTTTAAAAAATGAAAATGAAAGTCAGATGCGGATCGACGCTTTTTATTTAATATCATTAACCTGTAGTGTGTTCATGAATACTCCCGAGAAGTTTTTTGGGGGATTTAATTTCGCACGGGCGGCCCCCGGCAGGTTGCGTTTTGGCGCCCTGGTTTTTTCCGTGAGCGCTATGGCGACTACATTATTTCTAAACAGTGTGATAGACAATTGATAAGATGGGACGTTACAGTCGCTCACTAAATTGAATCAGGCGAACAGGCCGGTGCCATGGTAGGGTGCGATTTGGCTGCAAACACAAATTTCAGTTTCAATCCCAAAGGCTCACATTAGCCACTGAGGGCTCTGTAATACATTTTTTTTAAATCAGAAAATTACACAAGGTTAGATTATTAATTGTGTTTAATTTTGTCCGTAAAAATATCCAAACAGTTTCGTCACTTTGCGAATGATGCAATTAGCATCTATTTTTAGACGATCCAATCAGAAATTGAGATTAAGCTTCTAGTAATACACCATTAGTAACGCTAAAAAATTGCACTAGTCACACTGATGTTATAACACGTCAAAGTACTTTTGTGCGTGTTAAGGAAAAAAAACCTGTTGATTTGTATATCTTTAGCAATGACGCAATCGGCATCATTGTTTCTGGAGCTATGTGGCGCTCTGGGTTATCTTTTTAGCACATTGGCACTCTGTTATTTTTAAGGAGCCCTACGCAGCGCCTCTGCGGTAATGTTATCGGGGGGCTCCCGAGAGAACCTTTTACGTTCCTGATACATGGACAGTCACCGAAATGTGTTATTTTTTCGATGCGTGATTAACCTACATTCATGCGGTAGTGTAGGTAAACCCAATATTTATGATCCAATAGCAGGCATTGTTTACATTTCAATTACTCAGTTTTAGAAAACAAGGTCACGCGTCTAATAATATAGTAGGTATTAGTAACGCATTAATAAAACCATTCTTATATATTTCGTCAGACGTTCTCCTATCCCCGCTGCAATGCGCTGGGACGGATACGTTAGTTTATAAAAATACAGGATATTTGAAATATGAAATTTGTAAACAAAATACATCTATACATATATATATATATATATATATATATATATATATATATATATATATATATATATATATATATATATATATATGAGAAAATACAGCAGTATTAAAACACACAAATTCAAACAAAAGTAACAAAAATAGGCGCCAACCCCTCACCACTTCCCCCCCCCCCCAAACAAACAAATAAACAAACATATGTATATATATATATATATATATATATATATATATATATATATATATCTATATATATATATATATATATATATATATATATATATATATATATATATATATATATATATATGATTAAAATCAGAACATCCACAAAGTAGGATGAAAAGATGAAATCGGTCTATGAAAACCAAGTGCTACCTTTAAAAATTTTTTTGTCTTCTTAATTGTTTGTCTTTAAAATTGTTTGAGTTAAGACTTTAATATGTAAAAATAGTCAGAGGCTTACTGTGTAAATTACGACCAACGCATACATTTATTTTGTTAGGTAGTCCAAACTGAAATTAACTATTGATTGCAGACTTCTGGAATGAGTATGTCACGAAAGAACTTTTAATTGTAAGCTCTATTCCACAAATTTTATAAAAATATCTTAATAAATAAAAAATTTATGCGATTTTTAAAAAAGCAAAATTTGGTAAAAAACTGATTTTAAAAAAGTGCCATTTTTGAGAACCCATATTTTCTAAACTAGAAATGTAGAAATTGGTAAAATTACTGCAAAGTCTGTAGTATATATGCCCAATTTTTTTCAGTCATCTAAAATGAGTCTTTCTAAGGTAAACAAATAAATGAAAATGACAAAAATACGTTTTGGTCACTTTTATTTTCATTAAAAAATTTTTTTTTTGCTTTGGACATAGAATAACTCTAAAACTATTTTGTTGGTAACATTAACAAGAAAGAATGTGTTCATTATTTTAAAAAATCACATGAGTTAAAATATTATTTTTAAAAAATGCCAGTTATCTAGAGCAGGAGAAACAGAATCAAAATTTAGTGGAGTAATGTAATGTAATGTAATGTAATGTAATGTGATGTGATGTGATGTGATGTGATGTGATGTGATGTGATGTGATGTGATGTGATGTGATGTGATGTGATGTGATGTGATGTGATGTTATAGAGAACAGCAAACTCACACCATCCAGCCGTATTTATTTTGTGTTTGTGTTCGTCATAGATCTGGACGAAGTCCGAAATTGGGTGTTTTGTTTGGTTTTGTTTTGTCTGTTTTGTGTCAGTTTTTATCTGTTCTTTTTCTGTGATTTTATCATCGGTTCCATGTAATAAATTTAATTAATTGTTAAAAAGATTTTTTTGTTTTTATTATTTAGACTAAGGTTAAGTTATTAACCAGTCTGGGTTTAGCCGGGCTTGCACTGACCGGACGGTAGTAGATAAGCTTAGGGAAGGGTAGAGTAGATTTTAGGTATCCCCCCCCCCCCCCCCTTAGCAGGGCTTACAAATTGGTAGCACGAGTGGGGTGAAGTCTGGGGCATATATCAGGATGTCATCCAGGTAGGCCAGCCTGATTCTCATGATGTGCTCACTCATTACCCCCTGCATTAATCTGGAAAAAGTCTGGACGGCGCCACATAGGCCAAATGGCATTCTGGTCCACTGGTACAGACCAAAGGGAGTAACGAAGGCAGTTTTTTCTTGGTCTTCTTCAGCCATGGCAACCTGGTGGTAGCCACTGGCTAAGTCCAGCGTGGAGAAGAAAGTTGACCCCGCCAGAGCATCTAAAGTTTCGTCAATTCGGGGCAGCGGGAACGCATCCTTCCGGGTTATGACATTCAGCCTCCTGTAATCGCAGCATAACCGGATCTCGCCATTCTTCTTCTTCACAATGACCATTGGAGCTGCATAAGGGCTGGTGCTGGGTTGGATAATGCCCCTGGTAGTCAACTTTTCTATGTGTTCTTTAACTGCAGCGAACTCTGTAGGCGGAAGCCGGCGGTAGGGTAACGCCACTGGTATGTCACTGGTTAGCGGGATGCTGTGTTTGATTGTGTCCGTAAAACCCAACTGGTCGTCTGTCCAAGCAAAAACGTCTGTGAATTCCTGGAGTAATTTCTCCAGAGCCGCCCGCTGTGGTGGGTCAAGGTTTTCTGCCATCATGCTGGAAAACGAGGGCTCTGGCATGGAAGTGTGGGTCTCGCTGGACAGGGATGAGTCTATGACCACCTCAGCAGCCAGAGAGTTGACCCTGAACTGCAGGTTTGGGGGAACCAGCTCGAACGGGTGGATTGTTGCTAGACAGGTCCTGCTGGAGATGTAGACGGGCTCCTCAGACAGGTTAGCCACCTGTACCGAGAAGAATCCGTCACGGCAGGAAGTTAGACCTGGCACCACGAGCAGGTCCGGGTGAAATGGCTGTTCTAATGGCTGTACCAGCATGTCATCCACCATTCTGGGGTCTCCTCCCGTCGCTCGAATGGTTGATATACTCTTGGCAGGCACCAGAGTTCTCTCGCGGGGGCTGAGGGCTTTGCCCTCTCGCCATACCTTCGGTGTCGCCCCCGGTGGCTTGACCAGATGGGCCAATGTGGTCAGGTCTTGGAGAATGTTCATGCCCAGCAGGCAAGGTGGAGCTGAGCCGCCTACTGGATCTCTTATGACCAGGAACCCCTTGTCACAAAGTTTTTCTTTGTTGACTTCAAGGTCCGTAATAAAATAGCCATTGTATGGGATGGCCAACCCATTTGCTGCTCTCAGGGATAGGTGGGTGCCTGTTTCTAGCACAATGTTTTTTAGGCTGCAGTTGAAAAATGTTTCGGTGACTGTGCTAACCTGGGATCCACTGTCTATAACAGCAGTCACAGGTACACCTTCTAGGTAGATAGTCAGGGTGGGACAGTGTCCAACCAGTTTGTGTATGGTGGAGCCTGGGCCTGGCCCCCCAGCAGTGGGACTCCGATCTACTGAGGGCCCCCGTTTTTTGCTAGCCGGCAATGGCGGGCTAAGTGTCCTGGTTGGTGGCAATTGTAGCATGTTCTTGTTTCCGCCTCTGGACGTCGGCGGAGTACCCTTCGACTAGCTGGCACTTGGGGAAGGGCAGCGGGGGGGTTCTGGGCCAAATGGGTCAACAGGGCTGACAGCTGCTCTGCTAGCCTGTCTACCTTGTCTTCCAGCTTGGATCTGGGCAAGGCTGGTTCTTCCTTGGGACGGGCCTGTAGAGCTGCTACATAGGCAGGTTCTGCCCCTGGATCCTCATCTCCGGACCACCTGATGGCCGCGTCTCGGAGAGCCATAAAGGGGGTTTTGGGGTCGTGGAACACAAGTTCTTGGAGCTGACGTCGGACCGAGGACTGGCTCAGGTTCTCCATGAACTGGTCCCGAAGAAATTCCGTGTCGGTCTGTGGGACCTGCAGGGTGCCATGTCTTGTAACAAGGGTCTTGAATGCCCGGTGTAGGCGGTGTGAGTAAGCACTCACTGACTCATGTGGGCCCTGTTGCACCGTTTGGGATTGAGCCATGAGCTGCGAGACGCTCCTCTTCTCGCCATACACCTCCCTGAGGAGCCTGATGATGGCTTCCGGGTCGCGGTTCAGGTCGTCACCCCTGCAGCTCAGCTCCTCCCGCACTGCCTCCCCCAGGTACTGCCAGAGGAGGTCCTTCTGCTCATCGGCCGTGAGATCTTTCCTGACCTTCCAGGCACCCCGGACTTCTTCAATGAAGCGATCCACCTCAGAGGCATGGCTGTCTCCATGAAACCTCCTAATGTGGACCTCCCTGGGCGGCACGATGATTATGTTGGTCAGTGCAGCCTCCGCCATCTCGTCCTAATCGGGTGTTAAGACTACAAACAATTCCTACACTAAACAAAAACTAAACACATATGGTTCCAAAAAGGGCCTATCAAAAAAAAAATTATCTAAACTGCACTTAGCCCTAACAAAAAAACAAAAATTTAACTAGACTAAAGCACTGACCCCACTCGTGCTACCAATTTGTAAGCCCTGCTAAGGGGGGGGGGATACCTAAAATCTACTCTACCCTTCCCTAAGCTTATCTACTACCGTCCGGTCAGTGCAAGCCCGGCTAAACCCAGACTGGTTAATAACTTAACCTTAGTCTAAATAATAAAAACAAAAAAATCTTTTAACAATTAATTAAATTTATTACATGGAACCGATGATAAAATCACAGAAAAAGAACAGATAAAAACTGACACAAAACAGACAAAACAAAACCAAACAAAACACCCAATTTCGGACCACCGTCCAGGTTGTCCCTCTGGAGGCCCACTGCAATTTCCTATCTTCGGCCTTACCGGCCGATGTGAAGAATGCCCAACAGGTAGACTCAACCATCCAGGAGATCCTACCCTTCCTGACGCCCGGCCACAGATTACATTCCTCGACTCTATCACCCCCAGCCCAGATTCTCCTGAGACAAAAGTCGAGACTCAGGTTGAAGGACGGTATCCTGCAGCGCACAGTGAAACTGCCAGGTCAAGGGGAAATCGCACAATGCGTTATCCCCAATCAACTACGACCAGAGGTACTCCGTCTAAGTCACAACGACAACGGCCACCAAGGACCAGACAGCTGCCTGCAGCTGTTACGGCAACGATGCTACTGGCCGGGGATGGAGGCAGATATACGCCAGTACTGTTAGGCATGTGACCGCTGCCAGCACGCAAAAAATGACCAGTCTGAAGGTGCACCAGCCTAAAGGTCATCTTTTGGCCACCATGCCCCTAGAGGTTGTGGCAGTCGACTTCACCCTGATGGACAAAGCGGCAGACGGTACGGAGGACGTATTGATTCTCACCGATACATTCGCCTTCAAAGTTACAAATAATAAAAATACACTCCAGCCGCTCACATTAATTTTGTTTTTAATTGAAGAATAGTGTTGAAAATATATTCTCAAAAAGTCAATCAATTTTACGTTTGGGTATGAATGGTGAATACTACACCAAAATTGTGTCTTACACGGAATCATTCTGCAAATCAAAGAATTCATCTTGTAATTCATCGAGAATGCTGACAACATCAAGGAAGAAGAGAATGGGTAATGCATAAATGCAGATTCTTCTTTTTTCAGCTCAGAGAAATAGCGATGCAGTTCGTTTTCAAGAGACTCAAGATGCACAGAAATCGCTTCTTTCAATATTTTAATTATCTCACAATCAGATTCATCTACCACACCGCAGAGTTTCTCAAATTTACAATATTTCCAAGATTTGTTTTCTTTACATATTTTGCAGCTTTGATAAAAATGCCCCGAGATTATCAAAGAATAAGCTTATCTTGATGTTCGAACACATCTGCTAGATATGATACTCTCTCCAACCACTCTATGTCGTTTTAAGTATACTAAAAAGTCTTGTTTCCTTTGCACTCCCAAGAACAATTTGATTTCAGATTTCAATTCAAAAACACAATTTACAACATTTCGTTTGACACCTAGCGTACTGTAGTGTAGAAGAGCAGAACCTCGTGATCTATATTAATGTTTTTGCTCAGTTCCTTGAAGGCTCCAGATTTTATATAATTTACGACTTATACTTATACTAGCAATGGACTCCATATATTTTTGGTGTGTTCCGAATGACTCGTCTCAAATGATGTTTTAGTTTTAAAGATTTCGTAGATTCTTGACTGAGAACAACTTTGTACAGTGCGCTTCGTTTCTTCTCTATTACATTTCCAGTGACGTTAATGAAGCCGAATTTTAAAAAAATTCTTCTAAATATTTATGCTTTGTTTCAAATTACTAAGGTTTAGTATACCAGTTGGCGACCCCCCAGAAACACCTTCGCGACCCCCACGGGGGTCGAGACCCCCAGGTTGGGAACCCGTGCTATATGCATATAAAAAATAAATAATGAGAAATACTACTAGTACTACTTACACTTACAGCTAATATAACATTTAAAAACTAAGTTACATGTACAATCTTAATAAATTGCACCACCATCTAAAAATTGATCTGGTACATTTTATTAAGGAGACTGGGCCAGACCATTTCACATTATTCAGCAAGGGAATCAGAATCAGAGTACACAACAGAAAATAAAAAAAATTAATCACATAAGTCCTTAAAATTTAGTGTCTTTTGTTTTAAATAAATTGATAAAAATGTATAGTTATTATAATTATAAGTTTCTTTTGTGTTTCAATAATATTTTATAAGTATTTAACCTTCGTTCCCTGTAAATAATTGAGTTCGTCCACATAGTAACCAGGAATGTCTGGTGGCCATTTTGAATTTGTCGATTCATAATTTTGACGCGATAGTCCAGATAAACTGTAGTAATACGACCCTATCATTAATCCCATTCGATAGATTTTAAAGAATTAGTAAACACTAGCATCTAATAGTTAAGTGCATCCAAATTTTAAGTCCCTAGAATGTCCTGAATTAAATAGCTTCACGTTTAAACACAGGATGTGTACAAGCGTAGTTCACACGCTAAAACCGTGGATTAGTAGGGTTCAAATTTACATTAATAACGTGTGCTAATTAAACCAAACTGACATTCAAACTTAAAACTCATTTAATAAAATGGAAATGAAACTTTAAAAATGATACTTACAACTTGTTTGAAGGCTCTAGCAAGAGTAAAATCCGTTTATCAACGTCGGTCGTAAACCTTTAAAACCGTTCGGCGAGCTACTCACTCGGGGCTGAAAGTTGACTCGAGGGTTATATGCTTATTGAGGGCACGGCTTCGCGACGGTAAATCAGAAAGACTTGAATTTACAACACAAAGTACTTATAATAGTGAACTTTACATCGGTGTAAAGATTGAAACAGAATTAGTTTGTTTTCGTGTATGTATGGTCATTTAAAGTTTAAACACTGATTTTTTAAAATGAAATAAGCAAGTTATTTTTTTTTCAATTTATACATCAAACGATAGACTAGAATTCGCTCTTTAAAATGACATTAAGATTATGCTTCTACGATGCTTTGTCGCGAAGCCGCGACCAAATGAAACAAAGTGGGGTCGATCGGTACACGCAAAACGGTGAAATTTGTTGACGTAACTGATACTTTTCAAACAAATATAAAACACATTCAAACATGTGTTACAGAAACAAAAATACCAGATTACGACAGATAAAGGCTAAAACGTTATTGACATATAATTTTTATTCTTATAGGACAACTAGAAATAGTGAAATTTTATTTTTGAAAACCGCAAAAACTGACCCTAAAACACACTTTTTCGCCAGTTTGGACTACCTAATTTTATAATGTTATTTACACTCACAATTAGGGAAAGGTCGGGACTTTTGAAAACTTGGTTCATCAGGTCACCCCACCACCATTTTCACATGCCGGTTCACCAAGGGATTAACACAATTATATATAATAATCATTATAATAACAGCCACTCTGGTTATATCGTAGGGGAAATCAAAAGAATAAACGTACACGCAGTGAAGTGTTGATGAAACGGTTTAATAAACACGGCATTTATGCCCTGTGAACCGTTAACATGTGCGTCACAAGTCATACAATCACATAACACACTAACAGGTCATGAATAATAAGTATCAAAGTTACGGAAACACCATGATCATAAAATTGTTAACGTCAAAACATTCTTGTTATTCTAAAGTACCATTATATTTAAAAAATCAATATATATATATATATATATATATAATTACATATATATATGTATATATATTTACATATATGTATGAATGTACATTTCTGAGCGTTTGTGTACCCTATAATAATCATTAAAGAAAATTTTGTATTGATTTATTTAACTACAATAAAAATATAAGGAAACATTGTTTTTTTTAATCATAAATATAAACTACTAAATGTAAGTTTTGAGAATGAATAAACAAAAAACCTAGTATTTAATTTGTAGATTAGTTCTATCCAATGTAAAAGTCATACATTTAACATGTTTATGTTCAACCTTTTTAAACAATGAAATTAAGTTTTAATTTGATACTCATTTTCTTTGACGATTTGAACTGCTCAGATAATTATCGAAAAGAATAAAAAGTAAAACTCCTTTAAACTTGGGTTACTTTGTTCTATTCTACCAATCTTGTTCTTAGTTTTTCCTTCAGCTCATAGTCTAAGAAATTTCCTCTGGTAACAACAATGTTATCCTCCAAAACAACTCTCGACAGTTCTGCTGGCAGACGGTGACGTAACTGGTCCTCAACAAGAACGACAATCCTTTTAGGGTTAGCAGACGTCAAAGCAGATGTGGCTGCTCTACACATGAACAAGAACCAGCGGTCACGTGACAAAAACGTTTCGTTGACAACCAGAAGAACGCGCCAACTTCTGTCTATAGCCTGCACAGTGGCTGAGGCCAGGTCAGTTGAAGGTGAGAGGTCACGGTCACGAATAAAGGTCGTTAACCCCAGCGTGTCCTCGATAAACTGCCTGAGGTCATGACAAGCGAACTGGTAATCTCTATCAGCATAACCAATGAAGACACCAATCTCGTAGTTGGAAGGTTTCTTTAGAAAGGTTTCACTAAACAAATTCAGCAGCCCAGAAATGATGTACGTTTTATATTTTGTAACAAAAACACACAGCAAAAACCCAATGAACATTAAACAGAACATTATAATAGAAAACCAAAGAAAAGACTCTCCCGTACATTTGCGCCAATATGCTCCAAGATCTGTTATGGTTTCTGTATATCTAGAAACCCCGTCAGTGTCAATACAAGAATAGTTTCTATCCATATCCATATTTACAATTGTCAGCTTCATCCACAGAAGGAATTGGATGTCATGGCAGCCACAGGATAAAACGTTCCCTTCTAAATACAAATTAAACCCCTTGTTGTCTGTAGCCAGCTTGTCTAAACTATATCTCACGTCAGCTGTAAGAGTGATCAGGTCGTTGAACCTCAGATCTAAAACCCTCAAGTTTGGGGTGTATTGTAGGTTAAACGGGATTTGTCGAAATCTATTCCCTGCAAGAAACAATTCTCTTAGATTTCTATTATACAAAAACGTCTTTGAGCTCATTGAGTTTAAGGAGTTGAACGACAGCTCAAGTTGTTGAAGGTTTGTGAGTTTTTGAAACAGCCTGTCTCCGAAATTCCAAATAAAATCGTTTAGTATCTGATTTCTAGACAAGTCCAACGTTTCTAGACCTGGCATCGTGTCAAAAAAGGAATAGCTTAAATTGCTAATTCTGTTGCCAGCTAATAAAAGTATTTTTAGATTATCTAGACCTCTAACTGTGCTTGTATAAATCTCTCCATAAGATTCGGAAATATCTAAAAAGCATAAATTGTTAGCTCCAACAAACGTAAATGCAATATAAAAAGAAAACGCAGAGAACAGTCTTGTAAAATCCAAATTGCGTAGAGAGCTTGACATGTAGACAGTAATAGACGTATCAGCTGGTAGTGATATTATCTCACTCCCAACACTGTACGAGTTGTTATTCTTTGTGCCTAAACAATTTCTACATGTATCAACTTTATTAATTTCCATAAGTGATTTGGTTTTAAGTTCAAAATTATTGTAAAATTCGATCGTGATAGTTTCAATATGTTTCATTTTAAGCAATTGAAACAAAAACGGTTTTGTACCATATATTTGGTTTTCATTCAAATTAATACTTTTTAAGCATCGATCCCATACTGGGCTTGATAAGGCGCCTTCCATAATGACAAAAATTAAACATCGTTGCATGGAAACATGTGCCACGCATATTTGAGTTAAATATTTTGTAGACTTGCGTGTAAGGATGGCATCTCCAGTGAGTAGAGTGTTGTAAGATTCACTTTGAACCATGCGGAGATTATCCAGTGTAATCGTATCCATCGTCATATTAACCAAGTCCTTTAACCTAAAAAGTACACTTTTTAGCTGCAAATAAATAAAGTTTAAACGTAGACTGTTCAGATTCTTTAAAACCTCGAAAGGCGATTCATCAATCATTAATTGTGAAGTTATGCCACCAATTTCCAAATTTTTAATCAGATTTATGTTTTTAAAACTTGAGTTAGTAATTCGATTTAAATACCGAGTTATACTTAATGTCACAAATGATGTCAAATTTTTCGACTCTTCACCAAAGAATAATTCATCACCTAAACAGCTTATTCTCAATGTGTTTAACGTAATCAAACTTGAGAAAATGTCATTTGGATAAGAAGGCAGGTTAAAATAACCATCTTGATCCAATGATAATTCAGTGAGACTTAGAAGAGGTGCGAAAGTTTCTTTAGAAATATTGAATATGTTGAGGGGGTTGTGATTCAAGTTTAGATATTCTAATTTCCCCAGGCCAGAAAAAGTAAGACTTTTAATTTTGTTGTGAGACAAGTCGAGCCGACGTAGGTAACCTAGGTTCTCAAAGATGGAAGGTACAGAGGTCAAAGAGTTGTTGCCTAATAATATGGAGATCGTATTATTGGGAAACCAGGAAAGGTCAACTCTGCTAAGATTTCGACCTTGACAGTTAACCACCGCGCCATAAGGTTGATTCTGGATCGAACAAGGCGACTGACTCGTTTCTTTTCCGGTTGACTGAATCACGTGGCTTGAAGTGGCCATGTTGTTTTGTAATCCAACCATGCATGTGTATGCAAGAAGCCAAATCAGAGACAAGGTTTTATGTAGCCGTAGGTAGGTCTGAGCTGGTGGCATTTTGTTTATAACGTTCAGTGAACCAAGTCAGATCAGAGACGATATCTTTCTTATGTAGTTGTAAGGAGTCTCAACTTGTGACATTCGTGTGTTTAATGTTCAGTGATGCAGAACTGGCCTGGAAAAATAAAACGCTAGGTGGTTGGACTAGAATTCATTTCAGGTTTGTAATATCAAAAGTACAGAAACATAAACTATTTATTAAATTATAAATAAAATTTTAGTATTTATTATGTAAACAATATGCTCTAGTAGTAAGAATGTATAAAAATTGAAAAATAATATAAAGTAATGCATACTGGAAAAATTACCTTGCGAAATCATCTTATTTGATATTATATTATTATATATGTAGGCCTATAATGTACATTAAAAACGAAAAAAAAAATATTATTAACGATAAATTCAATAACGTACTATTTGTCAGAGCGTAGATATATAGAAATGAGACTAGGCTGGTAGAGATTACTTAGGACGGTGTAAACTTTCACGGTAGACAATTTGGTTCGAGAGTATGTGTGCCTGTTTAATAAAGTATGTGTGGTGTGATAGTGACGAGAGCGTGATTCGACAATGTTACCGATGTAGTAGAACGCAGAAGTGAAGACAGTTGGGGGTTAGCCTTTGTAGTTCTAGTCCGTTTAATATTAGCAGTTGATTATAAATTTAACTATATTTTATGTTCGAATTTGTTGATATCGTTGGTGTCGTCGGTAAAATAAGAATTTTCCTTTTCTCATCGCATGTTTTTAGTTGGAGTGTTAGTAATAGAAGTACTCATGATATATATTCTAAATCGCGCATATATTCCAGCCATTACACTACTATTAACATAACTAACGGCCAAAATGTCATTCACTTATTATGTACTGGAAAGTTTTCAAAATTAAATTTTGAAACCTAACTCAATCTAATATACCAAATAACAATTATGTACAGAATATAAGGATATAATATATTGATAAGGCAGTACTTAGCATACTAGCACGCTCATTAGGGACTAAACTAAACTGTAGGTTAATTTTCATTTCTAAGTAACCTAAATGTCTATCTAACATTTGAAACATATAAACAAAAAAAACATTAAGGTAAACTAAGAATTTTTCATTACATTATTGGCAAAAAGGTTATTAGCATGACTTACCTAGTTTCTTGTACACACAGTGCGCTACAAAACTACATCAGGACTTGTGTTCTGTCAACACGCACCAATGCAACTTATATAGTGACTGAACATTTAGGGCATGCAGGGGGTAGACCCGGGGAGGGAATGGTGGGGGCGGGTAGAACAGTAGACGTAACGACAATGAATACCTTCATTCCATGGGGTGTGTCAAACTTTCCCATTCGTGTTTTAATAGCTTTATTTTAGCACCATCTCTCTTAAAGTACATGCTGGAAAATACCTGAGTTATTGGGAGGGTAAATTGGTACAAGTTTATGTGGGTTCTGACATTCTTGTTTTGCTGGCTTGTGGCTAGGTATGGTGACGTAGGCAAGCGGTCGTCTGAAGGTTGGGGGTGGGAGATGGTTATAATCCATTGACATGGACCACCAACCCCTTTTGAAAGTCAACCCCCCTATTTTTATTCCAGCTGTCCCCCTACTACTTCTACATCCTCCACACTCTTCTATTCAGTAACATACTGCCTCCTTTAAATATGGTTTGTCATTCATACTTATATTCTAAAAAGTTAACGTTTCAGATACTTATTTTAAATAATTAAGTTTTTTTTTAAAATTTAAGGATTAAATTAAATATATTATTTCACGAACTTTGGTCGGCAGTGTGCAAGGTGATATTCCTACTTTTTTCTTTCACCTTTTCTTGGGTAACTCACGACGCATTGTAAAAAAAATATATTTGAATCAATCTACATATTACATTATGTACAAGTGGTAACATCTATATTTACAAATTTTGAAAGACTTTATTTTTTTCAGATGATCTCAGATCTCTAATTGATGAAACATTATACTGACGAACACACTACAACTCAGCGAACTGAAACATTACATTTGTAAGTATTCATGTTCAGTGACCTTATCGAATCTCAACATCGTTTCAGATTTAAAAAATTTACATTGGCTCTTTGATAAATGCGTAAGACGGTAAGACAAAAAAAAACACAACTGATCCACCACGTAGCGCTGCGATAGTAAAGTTAGTTCAATGCTTAACTTTGTAGCTGTGAGATTTAAGATACGGGGAAAATCCGTGTTTAAATATATATAGGTATTAGCCTCAACCAGCTTTTAAAAATCTTTTTAAAAATAGATGTACTGGTCTTATTTATTTGCTGTAAACTTTTACATGGCAAGGGCTTAGCCAATTCTAATTTCATGCTGAGGAGGAGAATAAGGACTATTTTAAAGCTTATTTATTGAGTTAAATTATAGATCTATGTTTTGATCCAAATTTAGAGCTAGTTGTTATTCTACTCAGAGGTTATGTTGATGAGTTTAGTTTCAAGCTTTTAGATAATACTTGATTTAGGGTTAGGTTTAGATACGTTTCATGATTTATAAATGTGGTGTCTAAGTAACTGTACTAAGCCCCCTAGCTACGTGATGTACTACCCTGCTGGTAATTTATTCAAGGACGTTAATTATATTTAATATAATTGGGTTTTCCACATGTCAGTAAGCTATGTGGATAATCAGGCATGGTTATTCAAAAGGTGAAGATTATGATAGCTGTGAATGTTGTTTGCTATGGGAAAGTTGTACACGTCCTGTTTCATGTATAGGGAAACACATCGTGTGTATTTTATAATGGATACACACCAGACTCTTGTATAGTGGTGACAAATTATGTGTCATGTATAATGTGACACACCCTGACTTTCTATAATGGAGACACATTCTGTGTTATGTATAGTGGAGACACACATTGACTCTTGTATAGTGGAGACACATCCTGTGTTATGTATTGGGAGACACATCCTGTGTTATGTATTGGGAGACACATCCTGTGTTATGTATTGGGAGACACATCCTGTGTTAATGTATAGTGGAGACACACATTGACTCTTGTATAGTGGAGACACATGCTGACCTTTGTATAGTGGAGACACATCATGTGCCATGTATAAGGAGACAATCATGGGTATTGTTTATTGGAGACACATTAAATCTTGTATTGTGGACACACGCTGTGTCGTTCATTGGGAGACAAATTATATGTCATGTATAATGGAGACAGATATTGACTCTTGTATAGTGGAGACATCCTGACTGTTTTACAGGGGGTTACAACTTGACTCGGTATATTGGAGACTCATCCTTTTTCATGTATAGAGAAACATATACTGTGTATTGCATAGGGAGATAAATCGAGTGTATTGTATAGTGGAGACACACCCTTACTTAAGTATAATGGATACATATCATGAGTCATTTATAGTAAAGTTACACACTGACTTTTGTTTAGTCTACGTCCACAAATGTAATACTACTTATAGTTTCATATAAAGCATACAAAAACCCTCTTTTAATACATCACCTATTCCCTTAGCCAAGAAAATTACGGATGTCGACTAAATCGAAAGGAAAGAACAATGCAATACATGGATTAGTATTAAGGTGTTGATTGATGTGTACCTGACTCACGCAGGGGAAGGTAAGACTGCTGGGTATAATGCTGACCACACAATACTTCATAAGACGAGTTTAAGAAACAAGAACTCTACTTCATCTGCCCAATGGATTACTATGTCTAAATAGGAATATTTACAAAGCCAAAGCGTAACAAATGCCAATTCATGAATAAATCATGCTTTAATATCTGGGGTAATAGCTTTCTAAATGGCACTCAGGCGTTACCTGATGCTATACAACGTTAACACTTTGTCACGGTTGACAGCACTCGCATGTTCCGAATGCACACCAGCCGATACCGTTTCGCTAAATATTTGAAGTTTTGTTTGGTGTCTTTATGTGAACCGAACGTAATGTTTAAATGCTCTCTATAAGAAACAATGAAGTCTATTCAACTTTTCATAATACATTTTTTTTTTAAATGTAGGCTTATTAAGTTGGCCCTATATCTGATTTATTTTAAACTGAGAATTGAATTAGATCATCATTGAATGATTTCAATTTTGCTTGGTTTGCATCTTTAGCATAGTTCTAGATTTTGATTTAGTCTTTTAATTCATGATTTTATCTTTTCCTTT